GGAGGTGCGGGGGGGATTGTGTACCAATGAGGGAGTTTTTCTTTTGCTTTTGAAGGAGAAGAGCAAAGGGGGGGGGCGGGGAGAAGGATGCAACAATGAATGAATGGAATTCCAAAATCTCTGTAGATGTTCATTGAAATGAAAAAGAAATAAATTAAAATGTATTAAAAAAATTAAAACTAAAAAGGAAGAGAATACTTAGAAAGGGATGGAAAAAGAATCACCAATTTCTCAGTTATTCTCTGGTATTACAGGGACTTCCAAAGTCAGGAAGAAAGGAGAAAGAATGACTAGAACATGAAATCTATATCACTGGTAGAATTTGATCATTTTGTACTGAAGAACCAGTATTTTGTGTCTTCACTAATATCAACAACTACATGTTAGGAATATGCTGTGTTTAATACCTTCTTAGGGAGCTTGGTCTAAATTCTATTTCCAGTCTATTCTCTCTCATGGATGAATGAATCACAGAAATAAAATCTAACTATGTAAATCAGAAAAAAAATTTCTAAAATGGAATACACAAAAACTTTCATATACCTTAGTTACATTCAACTAATTGTTAGGAGAGATCATTTATGTCATATAAATTCTTTTTATTTTGAATATGCAAACACAACCAGTTTTTGTATAATACAAACTGTGCTCTTGGTATGTCATTTGCAGATATGACCCCAAGACAAACCAGTGGAGCAGTGACGTGGCCCCGACAAGTACCTGCAGGACAAGTGTTGGCGTGGCAGTTCTGGGAGGCTTTCTCTATGCTGTGGGTGGACAGGATGGTGTGTCTTGCCTCAACATTGTTGAGAGGTGATTTTTTAAAAATGTCATTGTCCATTATTCTTTCTGGAAGAATAGAGATTGTTCTTTAAAATAAACCCTGGTAGTGCTGTGGATAAAGCACTTTGGCTGCTAACCAGAATATTGGCAGTTTGAATCTGATTCTACAGCCCTTCTTCAGGAGGAAGGTGTAGAAGTCTAATTCTGTAAAGATTTACAGCCTCAGAAATCTTATGATCAGATTATAGGGTCACTGAGTTAAAGAAACAATTACAGATGCTATTGGAGCAATGGGGAATCCACTATTTCCTACAGACATTAAGGAAAGCATTTTCAGTTCATTTTCAAGTACAGTAACATGAAATATACAGCACTAGTTTTTAAAAATCATATGTAACACTGATTATTCCTAACATCCAAGTGGTGAGAACACATTTTAAATGACATTCTGTATACAAAATAGGTGCTGATTTCTTCCCAGTCTACCTGTAATACATTTAATGCATTATGCCTGGACCAACTTCAGAGATATTATTGGAGAAATAGTATTTTGTCTAGCATATTTTATAAAGACTTCATAGACTGCTTTTTAGATTATATCAGGGTTTTTATTGATTTCTCACTTAATTATTCCTAAACATTATGTTTTATAATATTAAAGTTGATTTAATGTAATTAATTACAATGTGTGATATACCCTTGATTATGTTGCCTTTCGTGTACCATATTAATACTTTTTACTCTCAGTCTCCCTCCATTCCCATCCCGCTGTATAAATCTTCCTAGCTTTTTGTAATAGTTATTTTGTATCATAATTGTCCTTTGTGACTAATTTAAGAGTTCTGGTGGCATAGTCAGTAAGGAGTTGCATTGCTGGCCCAAAGAAGTCAACCTGCAAGTCCACAGGAGGGAAATGGACAAGCTCTACCTATGTGATTTACAGGCTCAGAAACCCAATAGAGGGTTGGTTGGGAGTAGGTTCTGACTTGACGAAAATAGTTTTGAGTTATATCACTCAGCATAATTTCGTCTGTATTTATCCATGTTATGCATGAATTCTTTATCATTCTGTAAGGTTGCATGATAATACATTGTATTCCATAATTTCTTTTGCTATTTGTCCATTGATGGACACTTGAGTTGGTTTTGTCTATTATTTTAAGTAATGCTGCCATGAATATGAGTATGCACAACTCTTACTTCTTTAATATATATACCTAGTAGTGAGACTACTTGGTCAAATTATATTTCTATTCCCAGCTTTCCAAAGTAAGTGCAAACGGCATTCCGCAGTGGTTGCACCATTTTGTATTCATACTACAAGTGTATGAGAGTTCTAATCTACTTATACTCTTAGCCAATATTTGTCTGCTGTCATATTGAACTTTGTTACTATTGCATAGGCGAGATGACAGCATTTTGATTGGCATCTGTCTGATAAGGTCATCTGCATGTCTTCTGCTTATTTTGTAACTGGGTAGTTTGGTGAGGTGTTAGAAGTTTTTCATTAATTTTAGAGATGAGTCCCTTGTCATATATGTTGTTGCCAAATATTTCTTTCCTGTCTATGTTTTCCTTTTAGTCTTTTGGAGAATTTTTTATGCATATAAGAATTTCATTTTTAAAAAGTCTAAATCTTCTATCTTATCCTCTGCTGATCATGCATTTTCAGTTATATTTAATAGTCTAGTTATGCCAGAGATTAAGGTTCCTAAATTTGCCCAGTTTACTCTCTGATGAACTGTATAGCTTTAGGGGTTTTGCCTATATCTTTGATCCGTCTTGAGTTAGTTTTTGTATGTGGAATGAAGTATGGGTCTTGATTAAATTTTCTACTAATAGGTCCAGTTTTGCCAGCATCATTTGTTAAAAGGGCTCTTTTCCGGACTTACTACACTTCATCTCTCTGTCAAAGATCAGCCGTCCATATGTGGGTGGGGTTTTTCCCCACGTTGGGTTCCCAGTTCTGTTCCATTGGTCTGTGTGCCTGTCACTGTCCAGTACCAGGCTAGTTTGGTTACTGTGGCTGTAGAATAAATTTTGAGATCAAGAAGTGTGAGGCCTCTTACTTTGTTTTTCTTCTTCAGTATTGCTTTGCTTATCCAGGGACTCTTTCTTTTCCATAAAGTTCTCAAACCTCAAATTCTAATTCATTGACATTGAGTTAGAACCAATTAAAAATTTCTGAGGCTGTAAATTGCACAGAAAGAGATCATCAGTCTCTCTTCTACAGAACTGCAGGTGGATTTGAATTGCCAGAGAGGTGCTACCTTTGAGTTAGAAACACATCTTTCCACAGAGTAGACCATGAGAGATTCTTAGTAAAAAGTCAAAAATTTTAATTTTAAACTTTAGTTTTGCTTGCTTGATTATTGATCATTTTATTTCCTCTTTGTCACTTGTTAACTTAAACCTCTTAAAGTTTAGTTTCCGTATCTTAAGACTCTTGTCATTAATATGTAGATATTGATTATTGTTATATCTTCTTGTTCAGTTGATGCTTTGGTCATTATATTACACCCTGCACTGTCACTTATGCTTAGAGTTTGCCTTTAATACCAGAAATTTACATTACCACTCTTATCTTTTTATTGCATTTGTGTGAATTTTTTTTGTCCCTTTGATTTTTAGTATCTCTTTGTGTTTTAGTTTAAGGTATGTCTATTGTAAGCAGCATATTGAGGACTCATGCTTTCTTAGCCATTCTTTTGTTCTTTTTCTTTTCATTTACTCCATTCAGAGTCAGTGTAATTACTGATAGATATTTAATTGGGTATAGGTTATAGATTGGCTTTCTTGCTTTCATTTTATGGCATGCTTTTTTGTGTTTCTCTGGTTTCTTCATCTTTCTTGGAGGAAATAGGAGGGCATGGAGAATAAGGAGAGAGATCAGACCTTTTTTGTTCTTAGCCAGCTGGTTGTAGATATTGCAGCAATCCTGATTTCCTACACTGACTAGATAAACAGCTGTTCAAAATGGCAGAGCCAGACTATTGACAGTCCTGTGTTGTTAATCTTTAGTTGTTTTCATTCAGTTTCTTCTTTCAGTCAGTATTTGAACTTTTTGATTCAGAGTTCCAGAATTACCAAACATGTCTTCATTTTCTGCTATTTTAGTTGAAGAAATTCTGGTAATTTCATGGGCCTAATCTGTCATTTTACCTGGAAGTCCTCATCCAGTATTATTTTATACAGAAATTCTTTTCTTGATTTCCTACTCTGTTTTCTATTATTCTGTCCTAAAGATTACATTTTGGAATTTCATGTGCTGATAAGAACCTACTAACATCCTGATAAGCACATAATATTTTCATCCTCACTTTTTGAAAAGAAAAAATTTGTAACTTTTTAAAATAACACTTACTAGATGTCTCTTGAGAGAAGACATCATGCTAGGAAATGAATGGTGGAAGGTCAATGAAAGAGAAGACCTTCAAGGAGATAACAGCTATATTAACATAGTGACTGCAACCCTAGACTCCAGTGTATCAGCAGTGATTGGGATGGCACAAGACAGGACAGGGTTCAGATCTGTTATTCATAGGATCACTATGAGTTATTCTTGATACAATGACATATAACAACCACATTTAGTTTGATTTTCTCTTATAACAGTTATTTTGGTCTTTTCTTGCTTCCTTGTCTTTGTAATGACCTTTTTCTTTCTTCATAAATGATATCTCTGATGATAGCCCACAACTAGTCTGATATCCAGTCACTGGTGTTTAATGCATTAAATCTATTATTGAGGTGTTTTTTTAAAAAAAAATTTAAAAAAATCTATTATTGAGGTGGTTTTTTAAAGTATTTAAAAGGAACAAGGATAACATACATATGGCTGAGTTTTACCTCTACTAACGCCACAAAGTGTAACTGTAACCAGCAACAACATCCACAGTGTAAAACCGATCCCTACAAAGTGAGATATGGTCCCCCAGCCTCCACCTCTATTCTGCTGCCTCTACTTCTTATTCCTGGGTTCAAAACTTGTTGTAAATTACCACACAGACTTTACAAGATATTTTTTTACTCACAGTTGGGGCGTTCATTAAGGAAACAAGTTGGAGATGGTGAGGGCAAAGATAGCACACATAGAAAGTCCAGGCTCAGTAAATAACAGTCTCCAGCCAGCTCCTCCTTCAATCATCCATCAAACGAAATCTCAGGTTCTGTCTCAGGGATTCTTGCCCTGGCTTCATCTCAAGGGCCTTGGCTATATCTCAAGAGCTCTGGCTCTGGTTCCTTCTCAAGGACCCTGGCCCTGGCTCCATCTCAAGGGCTTTGCCTTGCTACAGTCTCTCTGCAGTCTGGTTAGCTCCTTCTCTTCTGTTGACTTTACAGCTATTGATGATGATGAAGAGTCTGATCACTCACCACACAGCCACAGTTGAGGTAGTTGGAAATGATGCTGGGTTGAAGTTGTTGGGGTGGGGGGAGACTAAGTCATGAAGAGAAAAGTCATTCTCAAAAATCCATAAAGTGCGGTAGACTAAAGGTCATATATTCTTCAACTTCAGTTTGAACTTGCTTATGAGTAATTGTTCCACAGTCAACCTTTGACTGCTGATATTAATGCTTAAGAACAGTGATGTCAGTTTAAATACTAAAGTACTTCTGATTCCCAGAATTTGCCATAGTATTTTCAGTTGCTTCTATGCCTCTGAAAGTTGGACAATTAGTCAAGAAGACAAGAAGAATTAATGCCTTTGAATTGTTTTGGAGAAGAGTATTAAATATCCCATGGACTGGGAACAAAAGAACAAACAAGTTTGCTTGAAGGAAGTACACCCATGGTGCTCCTCAGAGGCAAGGATGGTGAAACTTTGTCTCTCATATTCTCGGCATGTTGTCAGGAAGTGCTAGTCCTTGAAAGAAGACATGCTTGGAAAGGCGGAGGGTCAAAGTGGGAGAGGTTGGCACAGTGACTGTAACAATGGGCTCGAGCGTATCAGAGGTCACGAGATAAAGCACGATTCTGCCTTGTTGTTCATAGGATCACTATGAGTTGTAGTGACCTCAGTGGCACCCAA